AACCGGTGGCTATCAAGATAGTGGACCTTACGGTTTATCTTCCGGGTATCCAAATCAACATCACCAGCCTACTGGAGCCTCCCCTGTACCTAGGGTTCCACCTGGTGCCATGTATCCGAATGTACCTCCTTACTACTGAGGTAATCCTTTCTTGGTTGGATTTGTGATTGCCATCAGCATTGGGTGAGTGAATGTGTTCTATTTTGAGGTTATTTTGAGGTTTGCCAATTTTGAATTACTAATGCTATCTTGCTTGCGAAAAGATTTTGTTATAGGCATTCCACTGGGTGATTTCTCTTAGTTTTCATATCGTGATATGAGTGTTGCTTGCTTTACTTAAAGTCTGATGGATTCTTTTGCTTTGCTTTGTCTTCATCAAATCGAATATTGAATTCCTCCTTACATGACTTGATACGCTATCTCATTTTGGCTTTGGCATTGTTATTGGTTGTGTTTTATGAATAATCAGTGTTGAAGCTGACCTTTTTTTTTTTTTTTTTTTTTAAAAACCTTGAAGTGGTGTTCAATATTTGCTTTGTTGACCTTATGTTTGTTATATATAACTTTGTCATTGTATTCCTCAGTTAAAGAAGTGGCAATTAAGCCTCATTTGTAATGTTGATGGATGTATTTATTTCTTGCCATTAAGATTCATCAACTGTGATTCTTCTCATGCTGCTTTGTCTAGGAAAGATCTAAAATGGAAACGGTTGGAGCACCCCCCCCCAAAAAAAAGAAGAAATGTGTATGTAATTCTGGTTTTAATGTGGTTGAGCCTATGGTGGTCAAAGTTGTTCCTTGTCCCTTTTTAAGGGTTTTCTAATCTACAATGTACAAGCCAAATAGAATTAAGGAAGTTAAAACTTCTCTGTGATGCTTAGCAGTTACTTCATGGTCTTGGATAAGGCTTTAGGCCTTAACACACACACACACACACACACACACACACACAAGTAGTATATCCCAATCTGCTATGGTCTCGAGATTTTGCGTTACAGAAATGTTTAAATTCTACAGTGCCAATTCAGTGGCCATAAAAAGACATGCTGTTATTCAATAAATAATAATTTAATAATTTTGGTGGTATGATGTTATGATTCTACCGCATGACATATTCTTGATTTCTATCATGTTCGGAGGTCAATTGTTTACAGACTTTTGTCATTAACAACACTTGAGTATCTGGGGTTTAGGGTCTGTTTGGTATGAAGGAAATGGAGGGGAAGAATGGGGGTGGATTTCAAGGAACTCCGTTTGAAAAATTAGAGATATGGGATTCAAAGCTTTTAATTAATTTTTTTACTTTTTATTGTACATCTCTTAGTCAAAATTTTAGAACTCCACTTCTCTAATTTTTAAAATCAATCTCATTAAAATTTTTTCTCCCCTCCAGTCCCTCATACCCAACAGAGGGTTATATTTGTGGCACTGCTTTCAAATGTGACATCATAAGTGAATTAAGCAGGCAGGGAATGAATATATTTCAATTCTCAGATTGCTCTTTTTAAGGTTTTTATTTTAGTCATTATCATTTATTTATTTATTTTTTTTCTGTCCTGGTAATTGTTAGTTTTTCTGACAAATCTCATCATCTGCATGTTTCATGCCATGACTTGTATGTGGAAAGTTGGCGAATGTTTGACTCATCATAATTTTGCTTTTTGTTTCACTATGTTACGTATGCATGTTCTTCATGCATGCCCAATCTCTGTTGATTGTTTAATATTGGCTTTGACATTAAGATGTGGATGGTGAGATTCTGTACCTTGATGTGATATTTTGAGCTGTCCTGCTGAAGGGTTTGGCAATTATCTGCTTGTTTGCTTTGTGCTATTGCTTTTTAAAATTAGTTTTCTTTGATTGATGGTTGTGGAATGATGGATTGAGTTGCATGGGTATTTGATTCAGGTGTTCCATCACTTATTGGCGCAGATGCTTTATGTGGTTCTGGTGATTACGTGATTGCAGACTATGTGCTTCTGGTGTGATGAATGTATTAGCCTGTCCATTTACAGCCACTTTTCTTCATCTGCACTTAGGCTATGATTAATGAGTTTAGTTAGTCAAAGCTACTGAGTTAGATTAGTCTTGTACTTTTAAGTTTTGAATGGGGAATGTGTTTTTGACATGTTTTCATTAATGTTCATGACTTCTTATTTTAGTTACAACTTCCTTTTGATGTCTGGAATATAAGCTATTCAACATGGAGGTTGTTTCAGTTTTCTAGGTTATTCTTTTTTGTTTTTCCCCCTCTTGTGGGGTTATGTACTGGTGACTTAAGGATGTCCTCATGCGGGGACTTTCATTGTACACATATGAGCCGTTATGTAACCATAATAATGTTAAGGATTGATGGTAATAATTTCAGTTTGCCTGACAAATTGTCTTTGGCCAACGTTGATTTATACAACAGAATTAAAGATACAATTAAACTTTGTAAGCCGTTAAAGGATCTTCTCATTTCTTAAGTATCTTCTGCTCTTCTAGCAATTAATCTATGATATTGTGTTATAGTTTATTGGTTGGTTCGGCATCCACATCTCTACGTTGGTTGTTTGCTTGAACTTGGAGGCATGCTCAATGGGATGAATGTAGTTTCCCTGATATGATGGTGTTAAGTTTGTGTTGTATGGATGCGTAGTCAACTCCTTGCTGGTTGGCAAGTTTTGCTACCTTACTGAGTATTGACTGTTTCTGTTGGTTTTCACCGATGAGCTATTCCTACATTTACTATCTAGTTTTATTGTTCACTAAGCATCCTAAAGTGTGGTTCATTAATTGAGCTTCTGTATTCTAAGCAGTGGTATGTGATGGAAGAATATTAGCCGTGATACTCTATTAACTAGCTTTAGTGTAAATATTCTTTGCTCGGTAGCATTTACTCTTTCCCTCACTTATTTCTGCTGAATCAGTGGGATTGAAAAGCAAACATGTTGCTATCCTCTCCCCAATGTGTATTGCACTCTTTCGCGAATATCATTGAATAATGGGTCAAAGTGCAAACTTGCTCTGAAAGTTTTTACTTGGAAGTGCCAGAATTTTTGGGATTCAATATTGTGCCAAAAGGTTAAATTTTTAACAATTTTGCCACTTACTGATTAAAATTTTAATAATTAATGTCACTATTTTAACAGTCAACATTATTTTTTTTTAATGACGGGGTAAAAATGCTATGATTTTAAACTTTCAGGTAATATTGAGTCTAAAAAAACTTGCGAGAGTGTCCAATGCTTTTGAGTGATAACTTGAGGCAAATCTGCATCTTAATACTTGAATTATTTTCCATCCTTTTTGTTCAGTATGTTTTATACTCAGTTTCAAATTCGCTACTGCCTCACAGCTTAGTAGGGAATCTATAGGTGAACTTGGTCTTCTGAGATACATAGACAACAAGACTGGAATAGTGACGTGTGGACAATAGTACTTGTCAGATGACTTTCAATTGAGCTCCATCTGACTTGCTCAAATGGCTATTTCTTTCTGGCTTAATCTGATTAAATAGTGGAAGTGATCTAGAATTTCAAGACCCATTCTTTGTGTCTATGAATTGCTGAATTCTGTGTCATGCCTTCTACTCTTGGTTTCTTCTTTCATACTTTTTTGAGAGAAAATTTGCTGCATTTAGTTGAACCCGTGGAGTGATCTTAATTGTGGATGGTTCTATGCTGGGGGATACTGTCCCTTATTGTGCTCTCTCTATAACTATATACCAGTTTGATTACCTGGCATTCCGCTCTTCTGCCTGCTTCCAACAATCTATTTGTCTGACATTCTCTTACCGTAAGGACATACTGAAGTTTGAGTCATGTCAGAAGTTTGTTGTCCGACAAAAATTTATATACAGAAGGAAGCTGCTTTTTTTAATTTTATATTCTACACAATTAAGATATTAAAATTTATCTGAGTTGCTAATTTTGTGGGTTTTTCGTTATCCGACTGCTATCTTATTGAGAAATAAACCTCATGGCATCCCTCAATATGAGAGCAATAAGCAAGTGAGCGTTTTGCTGTCTGCAGTTATCTTTGCTTTGGCCATTGGTTGTGGCTTTTTTCCATATGGTGAATTTGCATGTCACGGTGAACGATGATGCTTGTTTTGCTTTCTTATCCATCGCTCAAATTGAACAAACAATTGTACTTGGCTCTGGGGTTGCTCTTTTGGTGACCTTATATGGTTGCAAGGGCAGATAACTGTTTTTAATGAGTTGGTTGAAAGATAGCCTAGAATATTCTTCACATTCCTGAATGATTTACTTGCTACAACATGATGAGTTACTTCTTTCGTTGTGGGCCGTTGGTGGCCAGACATTAGAGAATGTCTTCTTGGATTCTCATATATGTTGGATTTTAAGCGGGTGCCCTTTTGTCGCATGAAATCACATTTGAGAATAATGTCTTAACCCTCATGATTGTTTTTCCCATTTGGCAAAATGCTCCTTTCCTCTCTTCCTACGGCTGAAAACTATGGGGGAGTTTCGAAGCCTGATTGAAGCTGAGATTAAGATTTCCATCATATTGAAGAAAAGTTTTCAATGCTGTTCTTGTTGAGTCTGAACCAAAGGACGCTGCAGCCTACTAAAGTTTTTGCCGAAGTGCCTTGCAGTGGTATCACTATTATTGAGAAGACCCCAAGGCAGAAGTGAATATTGTGACTTCTGTACGTGATCTGTCCTTTCTTCTCCCTTCCACACGCTGCCCCCTTTGCTGCCCACAGATTCAATCAACACACTGAATTTTTCTTGGATCGATTGTAAAATGGGACGAATAGATTTGACGTTATTGTACTTTTGTTTCCCTTAATTTTCTGTGTTTTCCATTGTTTTCGTGATCTTTATGAAGCTTGTACGACTGACACGATTAATCTAATGTCTAGGCTCTCAGATTACTTGCTCCGACGTTACGATAGCCCTTGGGAATGCGGTCGCAATTAATTTGTCATTGATAATTTACAACCCGTGAAAATTTTATAGACTACTTTTAGCCTTTTTAGAAGGGGAATGGTATTTAAGAAATGAGTCAATACAAACTTTGATCCGTCTGTTTTTATTTTGATTTTAGTCTCTTAAATTTTAGACTATAGGTTTTGGTCCCTCAAGGGATAAAATAGTATAAGGTTTTATTGGATTATAGGGATTAATGTTTTATATAAAAAGAAATTTGAGGGATCAAAATTTATAGTTTGAAATTTGAGGGTTTAAAATTAAAATAAAAATGAACTTGAGGGATCAAAATTTGTATTAACTCTTAAGAAATTCATAAATTGAACGGTGGATTTCAAGAAATTTTGATTAAAGATGAGTGCTTAATTCGCAATCCAAAATTTCTTTGCTTTCCCTGCCAGGTCGATCCTCCAGAATCTCTCCATTTACAGTTTGAAATTCTGTGAAGGTAAATGGTATGATATTAAACAGTGAGAGTTATCAAAATGTTCTTAATAAAATTGATGTGAAGGAGATCTTAGTTAATAAGATAAAGAATTTGTTATTTCTTTTTTCATGAGGAAAACACAGGGAAGTTCTTACAATTTTTTTTGCCCATAACTAGAGGCAGAGTCAGATTTATATAGAAGCTCGGTGTTATTACATGACAAAATCTTAATAGTAGATATCATTATGACGGGTAAGTGTCATAATGACTTGTCATTTAATAATCACAACTACTCTAATAATGACACAACTATTCTTACAACTACTCTCATAATGACAACTGCCTTGATTATTACAAGAAGACGAAATAGATTGCAGGACTAAATATTTTAATAAAGTAAAAATAGATGGCAACATAAAGTGGTCTTCTGGCGGGGTTTTTTTTAAAGAATTATAGGTATTTATTGCTGGTTAAAAAAAAATACTTATATGTATTCATATGAAATATGTATATATTAACACATACAGAAGTATATAAGAAAAATATATTTTTTAATTATAAAAAACTACATGTGATTATTATCCGTGCTCGTTTAAGCATCATCTCATGGCTTTGTTACTGATTCATGGAATCACAGGGACCTGGGTTTTGTTGGTGGCTGGGATGTTTCTAGCACTAATTTTAGGGACTTAAATTAATTGAGAAAACTTGAAGGACTCAATTAAAAAAAAAAAGCAACAAATACTAAATTGAGAAATGAGGTGAAATTTAAATACTTGCATATTAATTTTTCCTTCAAGTATGGTTTATTGAAAGATCGAGTTCAACTAGATAATGTGCAACCCACAATCGTTTGGTCGGTATTTTTATGCGATTGTGCCTAACCACCATTGCCATTGGGTTACAAGAATTTGTAAATTATAATCGTGGAGAATTATACATTATATTTTTAAAATTATGTAGATCAAATCATTGAGAAAATTGTTTAGGGTAAAATTCATTTTTCATATTATCTAATTTAAATAATTATTTAAGATTTATACAGAAAAAATTTGTAAACAAAAAGTTTAGATATATAAATAGATAATATAATTATTGATTTCAAAATATGTTTAAGTTAATTAGTAAAAGAGTGAAAATTTAGAATTTTAATCAAATAAAAAATAAATACGAAATCACAACAACGTTGAATGGGATTATATTTTTTACTACTGTTTAGGAAGATGTCTACAAATTTGGAAATTACTAATATACAATGGTTCATATGATATATTTCATTTGGTATGAAGTTTTTATTTGCAGGATAGATTTCGGTAATCTCAAACATCTAGATATAGATTTTAACAATAAAATATCAATTTTTGCATACAAGTTTTTCCCTTTTTTCTTTTTTTGAGATAAAGTTTGAAAGCAGAATCTAAGTGAAAGTATTTTTTTCTTGATTTTTCCCGTTTTTCCAAAACTTTTTGGAAGATAATTTTAAGGATAAGAGGCCATTCCTCAATTAGATTTTCCCATAAAACTAGTTATAACAAATTTATTTATTTTATTTCATCTTGTCTTTTCAATCTTTTTAAATTTCTAATATGGTATAATAAAAAGTAGCGTTAAAAAAAACACAGCATTAACAGATGCCAAGAAACAAACGTATAAGATAAATTAAAAATTCATATAAATTATTGTATGTATAAAAATTGAGTAAAATTACATAATCAAACTCATAATTTTAATATTTATTTATTCTGTTAATGACATTTTACTTTTAAAATAGTTGGAACAGGTTAGTCTTCATGGGATGATTGCGAAAAAAATATTTAAATGACAGATGATATCAGATAATTAAAATTTATCAAGACAATTAATACAATAAAAATACTGTGAGAATAATTTTAAAAACTATATCCATCCTAAATCCAGAGATGTCATCATCGGATAAATTGTGTGTGTGTGTGTGTGTGTGTTAATTTAACCATATAAACTATAAATTACACATATATCATTGGCTCCCCAGGAAGAAGTACCTGAATT